CGCCGAGATGATCACGTAAGCAAGGTCAACTAGTACGGATGGTTATTTATTGTAACATGTTTTTGAGCTATAATTTGATGGATATTTGATAACTTCAGACCTACAAATGTCATCTACAAATGTTACTACCCTCGGCAACCTAAACGCCCGCGAGCTCGCCGATATCGAGCAGGTCACTTAGAATTATTTTTTCCATGAAATGAAATACTTAGAAATCATGCCTTTTATTTTTTAGAATTAAATTTTCCATGAAATGAAAAACTTAGAAAATAGTTAGAAAATTATAGAAAATCCGTACTAGTTGAACTTGCGGACCGTGTTCATTTCGGCGAGCATGTTCTCTGCCGAGCGGTAACGGACGTCAAGGAGGAGCTTTGATTCTACGATGGAGAGCGGCAACGGTCGTGGAAGACCGTGTTGCCTTCCTTGTAGAATCGGAGCTCTTCCTTGGCCAAGTACGGTGCCGTCCGGTGGAGAAATGCTCGCCGAGATGATCACGTAAGCAAGGTCAACTAGTACGGATGGTTATTTATTGAAACATGTTTTTGAGCTATGTGATTTCTATGTCATTTTTAGCTCAAAATCACATGATGATTTACAATAGTAAAATCACTTGATAGTTTGGTATTTTACTATTATACATAGTACATATTTCATGGTTTAGTTAGATAAATAAATAATTTTAGTTTTGTTTAAATATATTATTTTAGAAAATGTGAAATTTACACTAGTTTGCAAAAATAAGTATAGAAAGTAGATGACAACTGGTACCGGATCCTCGGCCTCTCGTTCTGTTGCGAAACGACTGAGGCCAGAACTCCCTCTCATTATCTGCGGCAAGTGTAAGCAGAAGATTGTGATGGAGTACCGAGTCAAGAGACAGGGACCCAACAAGGGTCGTGTTTTCTACAAGTGCCCGGATCGCGATGTGAGTTTCTTACGCATTTGATTATTATGGCTAATTGACCTGCTTTTCTTGAATATTTTTGACTAAATATTTTTTGGCTTTAATTTCAGTGGGAGGGCAATGGATGCGATGGTTGGTACTGGGAGGAAGATTATGCTACATACGTGCAGAATTCGGGTGCGCTTGAGGTAGCGGCTTCTGATGATGAGGCAGTGAGCCAGCAGGAGAAGCTTATTGATATTCAACAGAAGAATGATTTGTCTGTTTTAGTTGCGTATGGTCACGAAATAATTATGTTACTGAAGTGCATTGTAGTTTTAGTTTGTTTAGTGATAGTTGGGATTGCTTACGTTGTAGCCAGGCTTAATTAATTAATCAACCGTGTGTGTGTCATCTATGTTGTGTAATAAAATACTTAATTATGTTCAAGGTTTTCATAATGTGTCGTGTAATGCAGATTATGTCACGCCATTGGATGTACAATGCCGATCGCCGCTCCCAAGACTTTATTGAGGGCGTGCACTATTTCTTAGGTGTGGCCGAGGCAAATAAGCGGGATGGTTACATGTGCTGTCCATGTGCCATATGTAAGAATTTAAAGGAATATTCAAGCTCAATGAGTCTTCATTCACATTTGCTTAAGTCAGGTTTCATGTCAAACTATATATGTTGGACTAAGCATGGAGAAAGCGGGGTCATGATGGAAGAAGGTGAAAGAGAAGATTTAGACATTGATGACATTATTGCTCAGTATGGTGCCTTTGATGATACTACAATGGGGGAAGATGAAGAAGTGGTAGCGGCAGAAGATGATCTCGGTGATGCAACGCACAGATCTGTCCAAAATGGCACAGCCACCAAGAATTAACTATACAGCAATTGAAGCTATTCGTATGGCCAAGATATCAAAGAAAACTAGTTCAGTTGACTCATCAAACCCCATTTAGAGAAGTCAAAATGCAATCATGAGGTATATAGGAAGAGTAATTAGAACAACTTTCACAGTGATGAGCCGACCAGCACGATTCGTGAGTGATGCCTTCCAATTCAGAAGATTATCAGCCACTTTATCAACTAGTTTGAGCAATTCGGTTTTGGAGGGCTTTCTGATACTCAAAGGAAGACCCAAATAAGTGCAAGGAAAATCCTTTATCTCACAAGCCAAATGATTGGTCATCAACTCCCGCTCTTCGATGGGTGGTCAGTGAGCTCTTAGCAATATAAGTCACCAGCCCACTGATTTGCCCAAAAATATCAAGCAGCTCTATAATGAGAAAGAGATCATTAGCATTTGGCTGAACGAACATCAGCACATCATCTGAGGCTGCTACAATGCAAGTGGCTGTAGAAAACATTCTTGGGTGGCCTATTCACTAGAGAGTTGAGCACGTCCACCATCACTAATTTTTTGGGCTACAACCCTTCGGCAATTCTTATAACGCTTTTTGGAGAAACATCATAAATCAGCGACATATTTCGCAATTGTCATGAGGAATACATCATCATATTTGTTGTGGCGTATTCTCAGTTTAATCAATTTTATGGAGAAGGGTGTAAATATTTATGTCACCAAATCCAATATACATATTTTGCATAATTAATCAGTCATACTGTTTTAAACATTTGGTCAAATATCAGATTATTTGACTTAGGACAAAATAGAATAACTTTATTTTATGGAAAGAGGGCATAGCTGTTTAACAGAATTAATTGTAGACAATGACACATATTTTGAACTTCATTGTATTGTTTAGAGTTTGCAAAAGGTACAGCTATTGCATCTTACATTAACTTTGATTTGGCTAAAACACAAGCACTACTACATTACATTCTACTACTACATTGAAGTTAACATTTTGGAATAAAGTAAACCGGATACACACTAGATAGCTACTCAATCATATGCAGCCTGTTCGCTGGTTGGTTTCTGGGCTGATAAGCCCGGCTGGTGCTGATTTGTTGTGAGAGGAAAACATTGTACCATGGCTGATAAGCCCTGACTGAAACCAACAAGTGAACAGGCTCATGGTTCCCAACTGATCTCCTAGCTCCTAGCACTAATGGATGCCCTGGACCATCCGAAGTTCAGTTGTTGTTGCAATTGCGTGGGATGTACGCGCGGAGCCAGACCTAATGCCCGTGTATGAAGATCTAGGCACGGTCAATGCCGTTGAGTAGCAAGCTCATGAACGCTTTGCTCTTGTAGATGACGCGGCCGTACATTGGCTACGCGCCACGGGTGGTCCCACGTGGAGAATACAGCCACCTCAGGTACTGCATTATTCGATGAGGATGTAATCATGCGCATGTACATATATATGGCATTCACAAAGCTAGCAAGAGATTGAGTGTGTAGCAATCATGCATGCATGCGTCAATGAGTTGAAACAGAACATACTCCCTGAAGTAGCTAAAGATCTTGTCTCGTTCGACTGCCTGACCCGAGAGAATGTCACGAACATGGAGCGATAGTCCTCTGGCACAGTGACGATGACCCTAGCGTAGGGCGCTTCGAGCTCTGGGTTGCGGCCGACGAGGCCCGTCTGATAGCGGTGTAGCAAGTGGTAGAGGCGATCATTGAAAATGAGCGTGCACACGTCACGCACGATGAGGTATAAGTTGACGGGGAAGAAGAGGGGGTGGTCCATGCAGCTGTCCTGGCAGGGCACAGAGAGGAGCAGGGTCGGTGGGCCGGCGAGGAGGTTCCTCATGTAAAGGCAGTGGATGACGTAGCTGGCCTCGATGGCCAGATGGCCTAGGGCGGTGGTGGTCATGCCCGGCAGGTGGTAGATGACCTGGTTGGTGCCCAGATCGAAGCAGAGTAGGAGCGCCATGGCGTTTTGTGCCACTTGTGGGTGGCGGTCGTAGTCGTCGAGGAAGCGTTCGTATACATACACCCCAGGAGAAGGTGTAGCTGTGTAGCACGTCACGGGCAGTGGTGACAGCGACCATTGGTGGAAGTGGAACTAAGCAAGCAAGAAAGATAGCTCTTGCTAGTAGCTAATGTATGCACTGATGATCGAATAACTGATGAAAGGGTGATTGGTTGATGGAAGGGAAGCTCTGCAGGATGGGGATTTATAGGCCAAGGCGACCAAGATGACCCTCTGGTAGTTTCTTGGTTGGATCATTTTCTCACTCACCGTTCCCTCGTAGAATTAACAAACACAAAGCGCGAGAAACAGGGGCATGCAACTGCTTCAAATGGGCGCTATGATTTGGCCAATCACCACGCATATAAGAGGTGAATCTTAATGAATCTGATTGTTTATCTTACTTTTTACAAATTTTATCTTGTTTTGTATTTTACCATAGCACTAGCATAGGCACACTACTAGTATAGGAAGCTATGTTTTGCGTTTTCTTCATCTATATGTATGTTATTTCCATGGCATGTATATGTGTTGTGTTTGTACTGTCATGTAACACCCCAAGAAAATGTGTACAACACATATACATGTCTAATTTTTTTGTGTATTTTACTTTGGATAGCCATAGTATGCATATAATGCTATTTATCATTATCCATTAAACATTTGTTTCCTACCATATTTCTATATAATAAATAATTTTTTATTATGCAGACACCATATGGCGGCCATAATTTCTGCCAAAAGTGCTTCAAATCGTGAAAATGTCATGCACATATCACATCCAAAATAGCACAGAGCATACTCCCTGAAGTAGCTAAAGATCTCGTCTCGTTCGACTACCTGACCCCGAGAGAATGTCACGAACATGGAGCGATAGTCCTCCGACACAGTGACGACGACCCTAGCATAGGGCGCTTCGAGCTCTGGGTTGCGGCCGACGAGGCCCGTCTGATAGCGGTGCAGCAAGTGGTAGAGGCGATCGTCGAAAATAAGCGTGCCATGCCATCGAGGAGATCGGCGACGCCGTGCACGATGAGGTCTCAGTTGACAGGGAAGAAGAGGGGGTGATCCATGCGGCTGTCCTAGCAGAGCGCAGAGAGGAGCGGGGTCGGTGGGCCAGCGAGGAGGTTCCTCATGTGAAGGCAGTGGATGACGCAGCTATCCTCAGTGAACAGATGGCCTAGGGCAGTGGTGCTCATACCCAGCAGGTTCGAGATGACCTAGTTGGTGCCCTGATCAAAGCAGAGTAGGAGAGCCACGGCGTTTTGTGCCACCTGTGGGTGGCGGTCGCAGTCGTCGAGGAAGCATTCGTATAGACCCCAGGCGAAGGTGTAGCTGTGTAGCACATCACGAACGGTGGTTAGAGCGGCCATTGGTGGAGGTGGAACTAAGCAATCAAGAAAGATAGCTCTAGCTAGTAGCTAATGTATGCATTGATTGATCGAAGAACTGATGAAAGGGTGATTGGTTGATGGAAGGGAAGCTCTGCAGGACGGGGATTTATAGTTCAAGGCGACCAAGATGACCCTCTAGTAGTTTCTTGGTTGGATCGTTTTCTCACTCACCGTCCCTCATAGAATTAGGAAAAACAAAGCGCGAGAAACGGGGGCACGCGACCGCTTCAAATGGGCGCTATACGGTTTGGCCAATCGCCATGCATATAAGATGGTAATCTTAATGAATCTAATTGTTCGTTTTACTTTTTACAAACTTTATCTTATTTTATATTTTACCATAGCGTTAGCACATGCACACTACTAGTATCGGAAGCTATGTATGTGTTGTGTGCATACTATCATGTAACACAAGAAAATGTGTACAACACATATACATGTCTAATTTTGTGTATTTTACTTTGGATAGCCATAGTATGCATGTAATGCTATTTATCATTATCCCTTAAGTATTTGTTTCCTACCATATTTCTGTCTAATAAATAATTTTTATTGTGCAGACACAATGCGGTGGCCATAATTTCTGCCAAAAGTGCTTCAAATCGTGAAAATGCCTTGCACATGTGACATTCAAAATAGCACAGACCATACGCCCTGAAGTAGCTAAAGATCTCGTCTTGTTCGACTGCCTGACCCCGAGAGAATGTCACGAACATGGAGCGATAGTCCTCCAGCACAGTGACGATGACCCTAACATAGGGCGCTTCGAGCTCTGGGTTGCGGCCGACGAGGCCCGTCTGATAGCGGTGTAGCAAGTGGTAGAGGCGATCGTCGAAAATGAGCGTGCACACGCCATTGAGGAGCTCGGCGATGCCGCGCACGATGAAGTCTCAGTTGACAGTGAAGAAGAGGTGGTCCATGCGGCCATTGGTGGAGGTGGAACTAAGCAAGCAAGAATGATAGCTCTAGCTAGTAGCTAATGTATGCACTGATGATCGAAGAACTGATGAAAGGGTGATTGGTTGATGGAAGGGAAGCCCTGCAGGACAAGGATTTATAGTTCAATGCGACCATGATGACCCTCTAGTAGTTTCTTGGTTGGATCATTTTCTCACACACCGTTCCCTCGTAGAATTAGCAAAAACAAAGCACGAGAAACAGGGGCACGCAACCACTTCAAATGGGTGCTATACCGTTTGGCCATTCGCCATGCATATAAGATGTGAATCTTAATGAATCTGATTGTTTGTTTTACTTTTTACAAATTTTATCTTATTTTGTATTTTAACATAGCGTTAGCACAGGCACACTACTAGTATAGGAAGCTATGTTTTATGTTTTCTTCATCTATATGTATGTTCTTTCTATGGCATGTATATGTGTTGTGTGCATACTGGCGTTTTGTGCCACCTGTGGGTGGCGGTCGCAGTCGTCGAGGAAGCGTTCGTATACACCCCAGGTGAAGGTGTAGCTATGTAGCATGTCATAAATGGTGGTGAGAGCGGCCATTGGTGGACGTAGAACTAAGCAAGCAAGAAAGATAGCTCTAGCTAGTAGCTAATGTATGCACTGATGATCGAAGAACTGATGAAAGGGTGATTGGTTGATGGAAGGGAAGCTCTGCAGGACGGGGATTTATAGTTCAATGCGACCAAGATGACCCACTAGTAGTTTCTAGTTTGGATCGTTTTCTCACTCACCGTTCCCTCATAGAATTAGCAAAAACAAAGCGCGAGAAACTGGGGCACGCAACCACTTCAAATGGGCGCTATACGGTTTGGCCAATCGCCATGCATATAAGATGTGAATCTTAATGAATCTGATTGTTTGGTTTACTTTCTACTAATTTTATCTTGTTTTGTATTTTACCATAGCGTTAGCATAGGCACACTACTAGTATAGCAAGCTATGTTTTATGTTTTCTTCATCTATATGTATGTTCTTTCTATGGCTTGTATATGTGTTTCGTGCATACTGTCATGTAACACAAGAAAATGTGTACAACACATATACATGTCAGATTTTTTTGTGTACTTTACTTTGGATAGCCATAGTATGCATGTAATGCTATTTATCATTATCCATTAAACATTTGTTTCCTACCATATTTCTATCTAATAAATATTTTTTTATTGTGCAGGCACCATGTGGCGGCCATAATTTCTGCCAAAAGTGCTTGAAATCGTGAAAATGTCGTGCACATATCACGTCCAAAATAGCACAGAGCATACTCCCTGAAGTAGCTAAAGATCTCGTCTCGTTCGACTGCCGAACCCCAAGAGAATGTCACGAACATGGAGCGATAGTCCTCCGGCACAGTGACGATGACCCTAGCATAGGGCGCTTCGAGCTCTGGGTTGTGGCCGACGAGGCCCGTCTGATAGCGGTGCAACAAGTGGTAGAGGCCATCGTCAAAAATGAGCGTGCACACGCCATTGAGGAGATCGGCGATGCCGCGCACGATGAGGTCTCAATTGAGGGGGAAGAAGAGGGGTGGTCCATGCGGCTGTCCTGGCAGAGCGCAGAGAGGAGCAAGGTCGGTGGGCTGATGAGGAGGTTCCTCATGTGAAGGCAGTGGATGACGCAGCTGGCCTCGGTGACCAGATGGCCTAGGGCAGTGGTGCTCATGCCCGGCAGGTGGGAGATGACCTAGTTGGTGCCCTGATCGAAGCATAGTAGGAGTGCCACGGCGTTTTGTGCCACCTGTGGGTGGCCGTCGTAGTTGTTGAGGAAGCATTTGTATACACCAAAGGCGAAGGTGTAGCTCTGTAGCACGTCGCGAACCGTGGTGAGAGCGGCCATTGGTGGAGGTGGAACTAAGCAAGCAAGAAAGGTAGCTCTAGCTAGTAGCTAATGTATGCACTGATGATCGAAGCACTGATGAAAGGGTGATTGGTTGATGGAAGGGAAGCTCTGCAGTTCCGGGATTTATAGTTCAAGGCGACCAAGATGACCCTCCAGTAGTTTCTTGGTTGGATCGTTTTCTCACTCACCATTCCCTCGTAGAATTTGGAAAAAAAAACAAAGCGCGTGAAACAGGGGGACGCAACCACTTCAAATGGGCGCTACGATTTGGCCAATCGCCACGCATATAAGAGGTGAATCTTAATGAATCTGATTGTTCGTTTTACTTTTTACAAATTTTATCTTGTTTTGTATTTTACCGTAGAGTTAGCACAATCACACTACTAGTATAGGAAGCTATGTTTTATGTTTTCTTCATCTATATGTATGTTCTTTCTATGGCATGTATATGTGTTGTGTGCATACTGTCATGTAACACAAGAAAATGTGTACAACACATATACATGTCAGATTTTTTTGTGTATTTTACTTTGGATAGCCATAGTATGCATGTAATGCTATTTATCATTATCCATTAAACATTTGTTTCCTACCATATTTCTATCTAATAAATATTTTTTTATTGTGCAGACACCATGTGGCGGCCATAATTTCTGCCAAAAGTGCTTCAAATCGTGAAAATGTCGTGCACATATCACATCCGAAATAGCACAGAACATACTCCCTGAAGTAGCTAAAGATCTCATCTCGTTCGACTGCCTGACCCCGAGAGAATGTCACGAACATGGAGCGATAGTCCTTCGGCACAGTGACGATGACCCTAGCATAGGGCGCTTCAAGCTCTAGGTTGCAGCCGACGAGGCCCGTCTGATAGCGGTGCAGCAAGAGGTAGAGGTGATCATCGAAAATGAGCGTGCAGACACCATCGAGGAGATCGGCAACGCCGCGCATGATGAGGTCTCAGTTGATGGGGAATAAGAGGGGGTGGTCCATGTGGCTATCCTAGCAGAGCGAGAGAGAGGCGGGGGTCGGTGGGCCATTGGTGGAGGTGGTACTAAACAAACAAAAAAGATAGCTCTAGCTAGTAGCTATTGTATGCACTGATGATAGAAGAACTAATGAAAGGGTGATTAGTTGATGGAAGGGAAGCTCTGCAAGACAGGGATTTATAGGCCAAGGCGACCGAGATGACCCTCTGGTAGTTTCTTGGTTGGATCGCTTTCTCATTCACCGTTCCCTCATAGAATTAGCAAAAACAAAGCGCGAGAAACAGGGGCACACAACCGTGTCAAATGGGCACTATGGTTTGGCCAATCGCCACGCATATAAGATGTGAACATACATATAGATGAATACAAATTTTATCTTGTTTTGTTCTTTCAATGGCATGTATATGTGCTGTGTGCATATTGTCATGGAACACAGGACAATGTGTACAACACATATACATGTCTGATTTTTTTTTGTGTATTTTACTTTGGATAGCCATAGTATGCATGTAATAGGTTTGCCTCACATGCATGACCCGCGTGAACTGAATCTTACAAGCTTGAAATAAATACTTCGATACACCCATAGTATTTTGCATCTAGGCTTGATCGTGCAGCCCTCTTCTCATTCTAAATTGATGGTCTATTCTGATGTTGATTAGGTTGGTTGTCCTAATATATGCAAGTCAACTTCTGGCTTGCTGTGTTCCATGATGAGAATCTTTTCTCTTGGCCATCCACTAGTGATTGGCACCTATACGTACTGATGGTAGAAAATCATCATAGTCCTAAATCACTCTTATTCTCCATAAACTATTAATAAACTCATATGCCGTAGTGCTTACTACAGAAATTAGCTAGGACAACAATATTTAGCACTGGATTAGCCCTCCCTCGATGTTTGGTCACGCTCCGAAACTCATAGTTCCCCCTAAAATAGAATTATTATTTGCATAGAACTTATGGTTTTCAATAGACAAGAACAATTCAAGTCTTCAAATTCAAATATATATCTAACAGCTTTCTAAGAGAAACGGCTTAACGAATTACATATGCATACTAGAAAAGATGAAACAACTCAAAGACAACGTAGCCACTTATTCTGTTTTACACGAAAATCAAAGCATTACGGAGCTGGACCAAGAACACTATTGGAGATGCAATTTCATCAAAAAAAATTGAGATGCAGTTTATTTAAATCATGCCTGCACATTTCGTGGAAGTTATGCCAGATTGAAACCACTGAACGTATCTCTGTCCTTCAAACAAGGAATTATGCACAAATTAATCCAAATTACTTAGAGCACTAGAAGTAGGAGGTGATATTAAAATCACAACCTCAGATGGGACACAAGAAGCATAAAGACGATTGCCTGGAGAGGAAATAGTAATCTGGCCTGAAACTAGAATTGAGAAGAACTCGAAGCGTGAGAGATGTTAGGGGCTTAGGGCAACAGACAAACAGTAGACGAAGAAACCACAGAAATCAGAAACCGTATGTGAAGAATCTAAAGATTTAGCAAAGTATACTCCCATACCGCAAAGTATACTCCCGTACTAGGAGGAGAATTGAAGAACGCGGATTAAGGATGGAAGCAAAGTAAGACATCGCAGACGGATCACACTGAAAAGTGAAAACAGAAATCGAAGGCACATACAATTCGAAAATGATAGAGGCATCGAGCGAGGGACTCACAGTGACGGGGAGATCGATGGTGCGGACTGCGGCGATGAGCACACCTCCTGAAGCCACGGGGTGGCATAGGTGGAGCACGTCGACCTCAGATGGTGAAATCCTGCCGCCCTGCCGCGGCCCGCAGGCCATGTGTAGATGCCATCGCTGATCGCTGTCGCAGGGTGTGAAGCGCAGCGGCGGCGGCTGGGGCTTGGAATTGGGGAGGGGCGGTGTCCTAGGCTTTGGGAAGGGTTTCGCTTCCTGGAAATTTTGGGGATAGTTTTCTTTCTTTTTTTTTGGCACACAAAACCGTTGATGTTAGGGCAGGCGAGCGATAGAAAAAATATTATTCATCAATTGCCCTTTTCTTCCTTTCCGGCGACGCCTAACGGCTAAGGTTGTCAGTGACGGCGCAAAGCATGTCAACAGTCAAAAGGTTAAATCCTAAGTCCAAGACTACGTTTTGGCCACAAGCTTGGAAGGAGGAAGTCGAGAGTCTGTATAGGTGTAGACTAGGGCCCTGTTTGGATCCATGGGGCTAAAGTTTAGCCCTAGGCTAAAGATTAGCCCTTAGAATGAAGGGGCCAAAATTTAGCCCATGGGGCTGTTTGGATCCAGGGGCTAAAGATTAGCCATGTACCCTATCATGACTCATTTGTCCTTAATTAATACACATGCATAGCCATGCATAGCGATGGATGGGGGTAATATGCGTCTTTTGCCCCATAGAACCACATTTAGCCTTCTTTAGCCCACCTTGGAGGGGCTAAGGGAAAAGGGATGGGTTAGAGTTTGGCCCCCACTTTTAGCCCTCATGTTTAGATCCATAAGGGTTAAAAGGTGACTAAAAGAGGTAGGCTAAACTTTAGCCCTATGGATCCAAACAGGGCCTAGACATACATGTTATAGAGAGACTAGGAGATGGAAAGACTAGGCATAGATCGCTAATAATAAAAACTGCAAGAAAAGTGTATGTACATGTGTGTTAGGTTAACATTATATGCATTGCTATATATATAGTCGGTTTTTCTCCTTCACGCAACAGTGTAACCAAATCTCACCCGGCATCTCTATGCCCGCAACCTTCATCAATGCAAGTCCGCCCACTATAGCGATGCGCGGATTTATCTTCTTCTCATTTTGCTTCTTCTTCTTCTACCTAAAACTGCTCCAGCCCACACCCCCGACCCCCGCCGCCCGCCACTCACCCCCACCGCTCCTTCCCCACCCTCCCCTAATCGGAATCAGAGGATTCTCCACCACTGCCCCTGCCCTGCCGCTGGCCTCGCCCACCACTGGCGACCAGTCATCGACCGCACTGCCCACCAACCTCCCCCACCAACCAGCCTCCGCCCTCCTCTAATCTCATTCGGAGGAGGAATATGTTGATCCCTTGCCCCCTGCCACCGACACCGCCCTACGGATGTCCTCTCCATCACTCGCTCGGCAGCCCCCTATCGCCTCGCTACCACCAGTAGAACCGCCACCACCGCTTGTCCGGCCGCCACCCCGTATCCCTCCTTCTAAGTCCGGAGAACACTAGAGGTTCCCCACCGCCACTCAAAAACTCTAACTTGTACTGTTGCCAAGAGGAAGACGACGCTTGCTAGTTCCAATCACGCATCGACACATGCTCGCGCGTTGGCAACATCTAGATCGGATTTTTAGTTAGGCCGATTTTGTTGTTTCGTTCTGCTTCTTGACGCGCACCTAGAACATCATAAGTTATGTCTCTTGTATGCCATATTTTATATATATAGGTAATGTCTAATTTTACTTGTCAAAAACTGGTGCATTTTAATTATTTACTTTTTCTTTACAAAATTCTAGCCACTCAGATTTTCTATTGTTCTCTATGACTAATTAATTTGTAATTAATTCTCTATCACTAATTGGAAAAAAAAGGCGATCCATATTGGTTGCTGCTACGCAAAAGCCAAGCGCTAACTACCAACTGACCTAGGAATGCAGTGAGCGCACTTCGCCACTAGCCTTTCTGGGCTTCGACATGCACAGCAAACCAGCCAGTATATGCTGATGCTACCCAGCCTTTGAGAAACAATGGATTGCGATAATGAACTTCAATTACAAGACAACAATTGTAATAACAAGTAGTTCCAAATATGTACATCAATGTTACATAACTTCAATGTTTATTACAACAATGACCCAGCCTTTATATTACAAGAGAGGAGAATGAGAAATAGTTCAATCTAGCTAGAACTTCAACATTTATTTATATGATTACATAACTCAAATTGTACCAAATAGTTCCAAATATGTACATCAATAGTTACATGCTTTCTCTCAATAATATAAGATAGAAAATCTATTTTATATTTTACTGTGGAATACAAAATAAAACAATACACATAGCATTGGAGCATCTCTATATAAAAAATAATATCTAGACTATGTATTTTCTATACGTGCAAATGTCTTCAGTCTACAAAGAATGTAACTAAATCCTATGCAAGTATTCATCTGCTAAATGGATTCCAAATTCCAAACTCAGCAGTAAAATCCATGCAGCTAGCTAAGCATGAGAGCAACCACCATCACACTGAAACGGTATGTATAACCTCCAAAAGGAACTAGGTCGTAGCTTATAAATGTGTATCAAATCTGATCACGTGAAAAGTGTGACAACATCTCTTCTATATCCCCTAACTATCAGCATCCGTGGGACGTTCACGACAAGCATATCCATATATTCCATGTAGCAGTAGGCCGGGTGGTTCAGAGGTGGTGGTGGGAGGCTCACCAGCACCACGGCCGCCATCATGGAGTACTTGACGATAGTTGTATTCAGCTTTAGCATCGTATAGAGGAACTTCTCAACCTTCTCTTCATTTACCACGACTTGCCTGCCATCCTCCATCAGTGGCCGCCCTTCTCTTTGTGCGGTCTCCTTCATCTGAGAAAGGTATGCTCTGATTCTATCCTGAGCGCTTGCGTATTCTTCTTGGGGATCCTTCTTAGCATTAGGGCTGATCCCAGAATGTGCTTCCATTGACTTCATGGTCACAACAATAACCTCAGCATGCATCCGCAGATCATACAGATACTTTTTAACATCAGCCTTTAGCTCCTCAGCTTCTGTACCCTCTTCTGCTATGCAGAATACCTGAATCTTACAGCTTTCAAAACCATCTCTGGCGAGTAGGAGCTGAGATAGCAGAAGCATTAGTCCTCCATCCCTCACAATCCAGTATAGGTCAATGGTCCCATACAGTCTCTGGTACTCATTAGGCCACTCATCAAGTCCTTTCACAGTAACAATAGCCTTGTTAGCAATAATGCAGTCATTTATAATGCTGATAAATGATGATGGTATCTGTGTTATTAGATTCTCGCGACGCCATATCTCAGGATAACGCATGACAACAATATTTGGCTTCAAGTTGCCTAGGCCCATTATCTGAACAATGCTGCGGAAACCGTCAGATATTGAGCGAGCAACGATAATCTCAGCAACACCCTCACAATGCTTATAGTCAATATAGGCACTAAGTTGACGGTAAGCTGTATTTGCTTCCTCAGCTGATTCATGGTAGTCACCATCAATGATTGAGACAAAAATCGACATGCCACGGCCCTTTTTCTTCATGCAATTGGCAAAATCTGCAAGTTTTGGATGGCACGGGACATTTTCTGGAAGTTTACCCCAAGGGCGGCAAAATATAAGAGGAATGGGGTACCAATTTTTTGGATGTACGTTATTTGCTGCACGAAAATAATGATAGTTATATAACATGGAGCTTGTAGCTCAGCTAAATAATGTTTATTTTCCATGCAAAAATATTCTACCTCCCAGCGATCGGAGGCTTCGCAGAGCCAGTTGAAAGTATGCACTTTTAAATCCATCTCCCCAGTCACCAGCCTTTCCTTTTAAGCTGACATAGTAGTAGATAAGGCTTGCGAGGGCAAGGGAGACCACGGTAAAAGTCCATGAGATCATAAACATGATAACTGTATATTTAGGGGAAAATTATCTGTCATTAAACTCAAACTATACAAAATATTTTATACAGCTCAAGGATATAATTATTTGAGACATAAACCTTTGAAAAAAACAGATAACAGTTCCATGAACATAAGTTTCAAATTTTGTACACTTGTTTTGTGATTCAGTCTTCAATTTCCACATGCTTCTAAAGAAGTTATTGCAATATTATTTACAGATTATAACATGTAGACATATATTTTCGATAAAATATGGTCACAAACAAAATTATAGGAATGAAGAAGCATACCAATACATTGAGATGCACCGATCAGCGAAAGGACCCAGTGGTGTATCTTCCAACGAGGGCGCCAGCTAGGAGCATCAAGGAGATCCAGCAGAAAGCATGACAAATTAACACCAGCATAACACAGAAGGAAAAACATAGTGATAGTAGGTGTAATCAGATCCAGGTTCCCGATCACAACACAAGCAATACATATGAAGCTTGTAAACAGAGTTGCCACATGAGGCTCAGACCCTTCGTAAGCCTTAAAACAGTTAAGAATGGGAAGGATGTCATCATTCGCTATTGCTGCAAGTAACCTTGGAGCCCCGGTCAAGCTCTGTAGTGCTGCACCCAAAGTGGACAAAATAATTCCAATATAAATTACTGCTGGACCAGGCCAAGCAATTGCTGCAGCAAGAAGCCTGCATATATTAGGCATGTTTAGGAGCTGACTACACAAGACGAAAAGTAGCTAGTCTGAAGAAACAACACAATGTACTTTATGAAATTGGAGAATTCAAGCTTTCAACATTCAAATTGTGTGCTCATATTATAGTATATTAGATCACTCCCCCTACAGAATATGAGTACCTACTACTAGTTACATTCAAATTCAGTGGTTCAGACTTCAGACATAAACAGCTGCTGCATTTCTGAATTAGTTTTTCCCCTTAAATTCCAAAGGCAAGAAAATGGCACTCATGGAAGATTTAAGCATGTTCCATTTCTCATATGTAGCACTTCACATGACAACAACAGAGAAGAAGGTGTAGCAACAATATTGCTAGCTAAATTCAAATAACCACCAGAGTTTGTCAGCACTCCAGCAATCTCAGCAAAATTGAAAAAAGAAAGATTGATTCTTTAGCAATACTCTAATAAGCCATTTATGCAAGTAGAAAGGTTTAGCTTCCTTGCACCAAGTGCAGTAGGATAGCAAGAGTGCTAAATGACAACGCATGTAAAGCATCCACCACTTCCCCTTGATGTCACAGATTCAATAAGCTAAAGGTATCTACCACTAGGAAACATACTATCAACAGTCATTAGAATGCAAGACCAGTGATGCCATATTTCTAAGGAATATGGAACCTGTCAGTTAGAAGCTCTTCTCTTGTAGCCAAGGCTCCAAAAAGAAACACAGATAGCAGATACATCAGTGTAGTTGAAAGGGTAGCACTTAATGTTCCAACTGGTATGGAACGCTGTGTGTCTTTCAGTGAAGCAGACCGGTTTGAACCAGCCATGATTCCAGTAACTGCTGGGAAAAAGAGTCCTAACAATGCACTGAAAGAAAAATAGAAAACTGTCAGTAGGTGTGCATTGATTATAGATTAATAAATATGAATAAGACACACTATTATGTCACTAATTGGAAGGTTTCAAAAGATAAGTGTCAAAAGCAGAGAAGGTCCTACTTAAAATCCCAATATATCGACCCATTTGGTTCAGGAACCCCAGCATTGTTTGTAGGTTGGTACTCTGAACTCCAGTTGTCCGCAAGTGTGACGATACTCAACCCAGTGATTCCCTCTAGGTAGAAAATACATCAATAAAAGTTCAATGCAAAAAAGAATACAAAACTAAATAATAATCAAAGGACTACTTACTTGAAGCACCAGGCTCTGGTGCAATGGAGACGCCAATATAAATGCATAGTATTGAGAAGAGGACTGGTACTAAGAAAGCAGGTGCAACCTTGTTGATAATTTTGACACCGCCAAATACAATAAAACAGAGTAATATGGTCACGACGACACCATAGATCTGGAGGTCATGCAGACTAGGTGTTGATATAGTTGTTGCACCACTTTTTGTTGTACCATTTACTAATGTGTTGTTGACCACTGTTACAGTCTCTGCTTTTAAATAAAATTTCTACAAGTTAATTTAAATAAAAATATTACATAAACAGAACTTAGAATGAAGAACATGACCACTGCAAAAGTAAGCTAAACACAAATTCAATACTTCAAAGAAAAAGGTTCCCTTTTGCTACTAACGATTTGATTTTAAAAAAAAAATTGCACTTCATACAACTGTAACAAATAATCTCCTAGACATTTCTTTAGTAAAAATAAATTATTTATAATCTTTACTTGCACCTCGAATTATCCCAACCCATGAGAAATATGAAAATGTAATTTTACTATCCAAACACCACAAATATCAGATATTTGTTGCCCAGGCACTTCCTAAGATTGGTTTTGAGCTAGTGGATATAACAAAAAACGGGGGTCTCAGAGGATTTTACAGTAGTGTATTCCACATACAAAAAAAGTTTCAATACAAATATGCAATATATTGGACCATAAGTTCATAACACAACGACCATAACAAGAATACAATGCAGAAAAATTAGATTACAGTGATTCACTCTAGATTTTATCAATCAAGATTTCAATTTGTTCTCAATTAGAGAAGAAAACGAAATTTGAACATGGAAGCCTAGAGTTTGGACGGGAGAATAGATCTGGGAGAGATAGACGCTGAGTCGAGCAAAGCTAGGAGGGGGTGCCGAGCCGCTGAGGGAGAGGGGTACTGCCGTGCTGGCTACTGTAGACACTGCAGTGACAGCCAACGACTTCAATGCCATCCTCTGCTGCTGACGTTGGTTGCCGCCGGCAGCAGCTTGGGGGAGAGTCGAGCGGACAGCAAGGTTGGGGTTGAGGGGGAGCCGAGAGGGGTGCTGGCTGCACCGTGACTGCTGCTTATGACTTTTGAGTCTCGCCCGCTGAGGTGTTGTGTCACGGAGGAAGGACGCCGATTTGCCAAACGGGAGAGCGGAGACAGGAGATGGGATGTAGTTTCTAGTGACTTCATGGGCTGGTAGAAGGTCGATTAGGCTTTTAGACGAATTTACAACATACTGTACAATTATTGTTAGACAGCCGTGTATGGTGCATGGGCTATTTGGGCCTTTATGGTTAATTATAGATTGATTGATATTATATTAGGCAAGGAGATCCCACGGTGACCATGATTCTATAAACCAACATGGCCCTCCTTGCCTATATATGTAACCTGCCTATTGACCTCCTAATCAATCTATCAATTCCAATTGCCTTCAATTATATGTATATAATTATTTTTTAGAAAAAATATGGGTATTCCATGGAATACAGGGGAATACCCCTAGCTCCGCCCATGGGTGGTCATTATAATAGCGTATCCATCTGACTTGGAGACAAAAACAATGAAAAATCACATCAGGATCCCTTGACCCTTTCCGCCACAATTGCAACCATTCGACAAATAGTGCCAAAGAAACATCCAGATTCCATAGTTTACCAAACTAGTATGACAAACTTGCAATCAAATCTAAATTTAATTGTTGTTCCTATCACCAAGGGTAAATAGACTTTTTCGTTTAAATTTGGTAGTAGCTATTTTTATGGGAACATACGACACATAAAGCGCATATACAGACAAACTATATGACTAGCATGTTAGCATTGCATGTATCTTTCACAACACTAGACATAGAATGATAGAACTGTTCATTTTATGGTATTGTCTTTCTAGATATACAAATTGATCATCCACACATAAAAATATTCATAAGAAAACCAAGAGAAAACTTGCTCGAGTACCTTGAAAGAACCCAGCTGACGGAATAGCATCTAGAAATGTTTCTACAGCTCCCAACACATACCTAAAATTAGGGATCACAAATAAGAACATAGTAGGTCATAATATCTCCACGGGAGAAGGCTAGCAAATAGAGAAAAATACTAATGCATCCATGCACTCCACTCATAAAAGAATGGAATTATACGCTCAAGGTTGCTATATCTGAAACTTGATTAAGCTCACATTGCAAGAACCAAGATTCATTTTTCACCATGTAATATTATAGTTATTTCCTCCTTTAGTCCTAAATTGACAGCTATTAATAAGCATGTTATAAATTCTCAAGAACATATGCCAACATGAGGGTTTGCACTCAACCACAATGTTGCCAAAGGTCTAATTTGATTTGTTGAGCTTTGAGTAGCATTTTTAGGAACCCAACTCATAGAAGATCAGGTCACCAGGCCATATATGTGCAAGAAAATAAGCAATTCAAACCTAGTTATATGATGTTGAGTTTACATTTTAGTGAGTTGTGGCAACCTTTGAATGTAGTTCTGAAAGTGCATCTAGGCCCTAAGTGGGTTTTGGTGAATTGAATGACACCACGATCATTGGACTAATGTAATTGATGAGATCATATGCAGGTACTTAGTCCTAGGTTGATTATTGTGTTGGACTCAAATGAAATGCAAATGAGAATTGAGTCCAAAAACTGCCTGACAAAATGAAGAATCGACAAATATGTGGAAATAACAAAAGAGGCATGTTTTGATAAATATCAATTGGTCTCACACATGAGGCTTTTTCATTGTATGAAGATATTGAAATTGTGACTTTGAATTGATCAAGGATTGTTGGTATCAAAGTTTGATTGATCTCAAGATTGATATTCAAGTGAGGATCACAGTATTGAAGAAATGGAATTCAGTTGACTGCTTAATGTTGATTCATGACATGGTGTGATTTGAGGATGGCTCGATAGGATGAAGGTAGCAAGAAAATAGCTTTGAGACGCCAAGCGAAGGTGAAGGGCAAGTGATATCTTGGAGGACGAGGTACCATGGCTAACGTGAAAAAGAGAGTACTTACATTGAGCTAATGAACTAATCGAGCTATGATGGCTCATGTTATATGCAAATGAACAAGTGACTTATGGATAAAAAGTGTAGTCTTGATCACATGGTTTGGAACATCCTAAGTCACAAGCTCAACCAGGACATGCTCACGGAAATGGCAATGTTGAAGGCCCCTAGATGATGAAGATTGAAGTGATCGCACAATTTCAAGAATTAGAGGCTCAAGTATGAATTAATTGCATATATTTAACCTCAATTATAGGTGTGTCGTACTCAAAAGAGATGCAACACTGGTTACTAGACAAGGCCTAAAAGTGCTCAAATCAAATCTAGAAAGATGATCGAGTGTTAAACATTAGTTTTAGAAAAGAGTGGATAAAAAGCTGGTAAAACTGGCTAGCGCATGTTTGAGTAGCAATGGCTAGTTTTGAAAGAAGTACTAGGCCAATTTTGACTGACTTTAACCCCAACAGCTCTTTTATGGGAGTCGAGTATTTATACATACTCATCCCCTCCCACTTTGAGGGGTTGTCGATGCCTTCCACGTCCATCTAATTTTCAGAAAACCTTGAGAGCATCGTATATTCCTCCCTTCATGCGACTTGAGTCTAAGTGAGATACCCTTTGGATTAGAGAGTGAGCTTTGAGTTGTGTGAGCATGAGTGAGAACTTGGGAGTTGATTCCAAGCTTTGAGCACACTTTGTGGCTGTGTCAAGCAATCACTGAAGCATTTGTTACTCTTGAAGCTTGGCTCCTAGATGGCTAGGCATTGTTGGCAAGCACCCAAGGCTGTGGAGTGCAGTGGGATAGTTTGTGAGGGCTACGATCTTGCCCTACAAAGGAAAAGATCAACAAGGGAAGTGGTAGTTCAGAGAGACCGGACATGAGCTTGACCTTTGCGGCCACTCAATGGGGTCCAAGTAGAGGACAGTTTGTGAGGGCTGTTGGTATAGTTGTTGCACCACTTATTGTTGTACCATTTACTGATTGTTGTCTCTTTGTTTTGATTTGTCTCACTTTCATGATTCTACCACCTCTTTGTGCTTTCAATTGTGCCTATTTTGTTATGCTTTCACTTGTGACTATTTGGCTGTGCTTGTTTGTGACTGTAGGAGCTTCATGAACCAGTCAAGCAACACCTAACAAAGCAGCACGCCAAGTTTGGTTCATGATAAAAGAAGTGTGGGGGCGTTCTACATTTACATATGGTTTCTGCAAAAATCAGCCAGGTCAGTTTCTATAGACCCTGTGAAATTTCTTTAAAACTGCTAGGTTAGGAAGGATCTTAGAGCGCTCAAGAGATCCATCATGATGTGAAGACAAAAGTTAAAAACCCAAAGAGGTTGAATTGAAAGAGTTTTGAAACAAAAAATAAATAAAGCACCAGACAATTGACCTTAAAAATTGACGATCAACTAGCAAGCACTATATTATCTGTTGCACTTGCATCAGATCGACTTACACAAGAAAAATAAATTAAGGTCTTTGAATGTTACAATTAGGTCCTTGGGCCTTACAAGTAGGTGGACCTGAGCATTTGTCGTGCCGTATTGAAAAAGGCCGGTGTTTTTGGACCACAAATCCATGCCCACTAACCCAATAACTTCCATAGGCATAGTCGGGTCAACTCTTTTCGAGCCAGGACCATGCATGGGAGGCTACCCACTAGTTTTTAGTTGAATAATAATTAAAAGAATTGTTCTGGGTTGGTCTCGGACCATGCTAATATTTTCGGGTATGCTTCTCACTATCCAAGCCCTATCCAATTGGAGCTGCAGGCAAAGCTATTTTGCTCAGGTCTACAAGTAGGATCCTAGATTGATAATGGGTCCCTAGAAACTTGGGCTGGGCCCTTTTACACACAACAGGGCTCCTAGCCTAAAGCACACCCCCAAAAAGCACTGGGTCATCTTTTTCCAACCCCACATCTAGAAATCAATCCTTTCGCTATATATGCCCCTGATTGGGTAGTTCTATGGAGATATTTTGCCACGTGTGTAAGTGTTTGAAACTAGAGGAAAGAATCAAACACTTTAAGCTTCAAAGATTAGAGGATTCTAGCCTAGTGTGGTGAGAGATTAGAGAGTTTAAGCTCTCATAGTTGGCTCGTAATGACCCATGAAACTCAGAATTGTTGTGGTGCAGCTCACAAGAACAATGGTCACTAGACGGAGGAAAGGGTTGAGAGCCAAGGGGTCAGTATATAATTAGCTAATGACTAAATTTCGAACCAAAATAATGGAGACCAAATCAAAGTGACCAAAGCTGAAAAACCTGTCATCAGTTTAGTATTAGGTTACTAGTAACCGGACTAAGTCTGGATAATTCGGTCCGTGCCATTAGGTAAGTTGAAAAAAAACTAAAACACAAAAAAAAGGCCCAGTAACACTTACACCTTCGTATATAGCCCAAGGCAGCCCGGAATAATATAGCTTAACCCTATGTCCCTAAATCATCCTTGGATCCCTACCTCACACCTCTCTTCTAGACTTCCGATGCCGATACCATCTTCATCTTTGTCCTAAACCATATCTCATCTCCCAAACTCCAATTCCAACTGCGGTCGCACAAGGCATAGCTATCCAGCCATCTATATCCCACCTAACTCACAGCAAGGCGGCAAGCTCACGAACACTGTTGTACTCCTCTATCCTCTCTGTCCCTCTTTTTAGGAAATGAGGCAAGGAGATCCACTTCACCACTCAGAGTGTACAAGTGCACGACAGTACGAGACGCCCGGTGAACAACAGCGGTGGCACGGTGCTGCTCCAGCCTACCACCCTTCCCTGTAATCCAGGTGGCCAGTGAACTTTATGGTGGTCACCTGGTCAGCCACGATGACAACACGCCCTCAACCCCTCATCATGGTGGCCTCATGTGGTGTCCTGCCCCATCGTTCAACAGCGTCAACGAGGCACCCTAACCCATATCGCCTCACCTAGCATCCTGATGCGTCGATTCCCCCAGCTCTATGGCTACATACACATTTTTTTTGCTCCGATCCATCTTGTTTTGTTTTCTATGATTAATTTATCAGTCAAATTCGGTTGGAACCAAAGACTAAATCCTGCCTAGTCTTGAGTTTTTTCAAGAACCGGTTGGTTTACAATTTTGGGTAACCGATATTTGCAAATGATCGAGGAAACGATCAATTTGGTCTAACCGAATGCCCAGGTCTTTTGATATGGGGTCATAGACAACCATTAATGGATTGGCCAAACCTCATAAATCTTGTGTTCCCTTTGTGCTCCATGTAACTATGCTTCCCTTGTGTTTTTGTTTTTGCCCCTTCATGCTATCTCTTGTGTTTGTTATGTGCACTAGTGCTTGTAGGTGCTCCAAGACGTGGGCTTCATTAAGACATCATCTTCACAGTTGTAGTTATCAATCCATCTAGAAAGTAGCTTCTAGTTTGCCAGTAGTATCTTCTTAGGGCTAGGCTGTTTCTTGTCTTGCTAGTTGCAGCTAGAGAAGCACCCAATGCTTGTTCTTGTTGTAGGTTTGCACTTAGGTACATTTCGAGTTGTAGCACTAAGTGATTTACTTTCTTGCAAGTTTATTTCTTTATCTTGATCACTTGGTTGCAAAACCAAGTGAGCAACAGGTTACGAGTCATGTTCCCACAAAGTTCTGTAAAAAATTTGTAGATCCACCAATTCAATCTACCCCCATCTAGGTGATCATTAGCAAATCAAGATCCTTTCAATGATATACACCTAACTATGATTAATGATTTAGGGGGATTTAGGCCCTGAGGGTCACATATCATTTCTCTAACATTCACATGCATGACGAGAAAATTAAATAAGCACGTGGACTTACATAGCTCCAGCAACTGCATTTCCAAGGAAGAAGCACAACCCAATACTAATCCCAACTTCTGGACCAAGTGCACGACCAATTAGATAGTAAGGGCCACCACCCTGAGAATAAAAGAAAATATATCTCACTCTATAGGTGTTCAATTAAATTTCTAGGCCATCCATTCAAATACAACAAATTGTGAACTAATTTATTTATTTTTAAACAAGCGGGTGACAGAGAAAATACAGAGAGGATATGGAAAGGCAAATAATTCTAGTAAATTTTAGATTTTTTTCTTCTAATTTTGAGATTTTCATTAAATATTTTTACTATTTGTTAGATTTCAGGTTTTAACCTCAGCGTCTCACATATTTCACGAACATAGAACAACTCATTGATTTGCAAATGCGAATTGTAACATATTTCGAGAAACTTCACGCACCTACCACTAACTCTACTCATATTCAGCATACCTTCATTGCTCCATTTGTTGCAATTGCACTTAATGACAATCCAGTTAAAAATGTGCATGCACCGCAAAATGCGACTAAAACAAGTGACTGCAATATGCCTCCCATACCCACAATCCTGTGGTAAATAGAAATAAATTGTCAATTCTTGAACATTGGAATATATTGTTAGTTTGTCCATAAGAAATAGACAATGCAATGAAGCACAAATTTCAAAATGCCAAAACTTCTTGACACTAAAAATTTAAACTATTGACTTACTATATCTAGATTTGGTTATAAGATTACAACCTTACCATTCTAAGGTTTTGGTTAACTATGAAAATAGATCGCTGCTAATGACTAAACAGATAGCAAATGTAGCACGAAGGATATTTGCCAAAAACAGATAGTTATATTTTACATGATACTTGATGACATATGAAAATATGAATACAGTAATGAAAGCTGGTGTGCTTAAGCTGGAAAACTATCTAGAAACTAATGCAACACATACACAATAAAAACGATAGTAGAAGTATACCAAGTAAAACGGATATAATATATTATTCCCAAGATGTTCTGCAGACATGGAATAAATACACCCATCAAGGTGCCTTGTTTAGGCTCAGTTTCCTACACACCAAATAAAATAAATGTAATTATCAACAGAGTTATGTTTATGAAGAGTTAGGTGTTTTGCCCGCATATATATGGACCAAAAAAACCTTAGGGAATCCAATGGCTATCTCAACATCCTCACTGTCCCTAGGGCTACATGGTGCCTGAGCCTGTTCTCCTGCCATACTGTTCATAATCAATTAGATAAATGGCACGTTCCTTTTCATTTGTAGAGTAAAATAAATAGCCTTAGGTTTCTAGCCATTTCCTTAAATATCAAGTGGTTAACAAAAGAAAACACAAAGTGCTAGCAAAAACACCCTAATATCTAGTAAATGTGGTGAAAATAGTAGAACAAGTGGTCATACCTCTTGAGTCCCAAAATATTGACTAGAGAGTCAAAACCAAAGAGCTCGAGCTTTGAATCACTTTGAGATACATTAGGTACAGCATGACCATTTGAAGAAGCCATTTGTGTTCTTGGGTCAATACTTTGATTAGCACTAGGCTTCATGGCCCATCATATAAAGAATTGTAAGCATGTATGTTCTCGCACATTTCACACCAAAACCGAATAGTTTTCTTTTCAAAACTCATAAATGGATAATAGAGGAACATGACCACTATCTAGAATAATTGGAGAAGCTTTGGATGGCACTACATTGTTATACTACATTAGACTTGACGACAGTGAAAATATTGGTGCAATATCAAGCAACACAAGGAAAATTGCACTTCTAGTCTAGGCTCTAAGCTTGCATAATTCCTTTAAAGAACAAGTGATCAAACCAATGTCATTTCAAAGTATACAACCATGTGTCCAAACTGACATGCCAAAAACTCCATTAATTCAATTTTAATCAAACAACAAGGTCTTGTTCAAAGTCCTACATAATTTAGTTTGCATAATTTTTATGGCCAATGGGCTCAATACAAGAGAAAACGATAGGGTAGTATTTCAATTTATGGGCACTTTATCGCTAGCCCTAAACCAATGTCGACAAAGCACCATGGTATTAACTCAAATTACTAAAAAAACAACTCCATGCCTTGGGTTCCTAGCCTCACTTGACCCATTCTGGATCTCACATCTGTCGCCCCATGGCTATGGCATCAATTGATAGCTCCCTCCATTGGCCTAGGAGCATGAGGGGATCAATGGCATCAATGAGGAGGACCCAGCACCAAAGCCATGCCTTGGCAGCTGGGGTCCTGGCTATTGTCCAGATAGCATCTATGGAGCTTGGCTCATCCGCTATGGCACTTAATTAGGTGATGGTGTGCCGCTAATTTCCCACACTGTTTAAAAAAAGTCGATGTAATATTAGGTAACAAGTAGGGGATGCAGTGGGTAATTTTGGTTTGTCAAGGCATTATATTGGACATAGGGACAGGGTAATTGAGATGCATGGTGAGTGCAGCAAGCTATTTCAATGTTGTATCTATCCATGTTGCTGCGGTAGATATTGGAGATATTCAGCTATTGGAATGACGGTTATGTTCTAGGTAACACACATAAGTGCTTACCACACATGTTTTACTGGGGCTTTGATGTATAAATCAGTGACACTGGTTTTAACCCACTTGCCTAATGAGCTTGAGATAGCAGCCAGAGTTGTAAGCTTTTTAGTAATTTTGTTATCAATGGTGGATAGGTCATCGGGACATTGATTTAGGACGAAGCCCATCAGTGCTTGATTCTTGACAGATTTCTTTGCTGGATATATCCTTGAGCAACTCACTTCCCCCTTGTCTCCAATGGGTATTGCAATAGGTGAATTATTGTCAACAGACCCGGACTGCCCATACGATCCACACCTGGTACTCATGCAAATTCCGCAGATTCGTTGGTGCATGTTGAGTGTTGACATATGAAAAATGACATCTAACCCATTTTCATATTCCAATGGTGCATGCCTATACTTCTTACAAGCTGGGGCCACCCTGTAAATAAAAGACAAATGTCGATCCGTTTGTAAAAATTAATGCTTATCAACTGAGAAAAAATAAACATATACTCGTGTATACCTTAATCTTTTCATTCCACCACTCTTCAGTTGTAGCAATAGTCCGAATTTTAGGGTCACCCCCTAACCTCGGGGCATGGATTTTCAAAGTCTTTCATGCTCTGTATTCAGCTCTGAGGGCATCTGTCCCACCTATTTCTATGTTGGCCACGACGGTAGGACCCTGCCAGTTTGTTCTTCAAACTTCAACAGGCTCTGTGTGTAACCTTATGGCCTGTTCTGGGTAGCTAGCGATCTCTTCCAAAACTATCTCTATCCATGCTCTATGTGCAATGGCATCCAATTTTGCAGTGCCTTTCCTTTTTTTTTTTTTGTCCCTTTTTCCATCTATACAGAATTATCATTGCAACCAGCCAATATTACTAACTCACTAACAGGCTTCCGGCATTCATGAAGATTAGAAAATGAAATGTACAGGACTACGCAACAACAATAAACAGGGTGTGCTTACAGTTGAACTAACAGACAGTGCATGGAAATTTCAGGGAAAGGAAAGAATTCAGAACATAGAAGGACATGGCAGGCAAATTCAGAATATAGCAGGGACATACCATTACTGAACAAGTTAGGCCTGCTGTACGATTTGCTACTGAAAAAATGATTCTTCCTAACATATAGCCAGATGAATTCCAGTTGTAGTATCAAGCATCATCAGCTTAGCTAGAGCTACTAGTAATCAATCTTGTGTTTTGTCTTTAAGCTGCAGTTGTTAAGGCCAGTCTCAGTGAGTATCTTTGTTAGAAACAGTATGGACTAGTCATCCCCATGAATAAAAATCATTCTACTCCCATAAAACTCTTTTTATCAATATTGTGCCATATTAGTATATTTAATGCTCATGAAACTCACGTGAAATTCTCAAGGCAAAAACTGCACAAGTTAATGCACAGTTTCCCATCCAAATTGCAGCAAGGAGATTGTAACCTCTGAGCAACGCCTTTCCAGATCTGATTGGAAAAGCAAGGAGGAGGAGAGATGCTCACGTACGTCGCCTTTGTGACAAGGAGTGGGCGGAGGTCCGAGGTGGCCCGGCGGCCGGCCAGACTCTTCTGCAGCAGCAACGTCGTCGCAGGCGTCCGGGGGCTGACGATCGATCTTTACGGCAGCGGAGGAGCGGGTTCGTCGTCACCTCTTACAGGAGCTCCTGGCGGGGAACGGATGAGTGGGTGTACGTGGTGGCTGGCGCCCTGCAACCTGGCCGGAGGCGCCGGGCGGCGGCCGGCCAGCAAGCCCTAGCAATTCCGGCTCCGGGAGAACGCGAAGGGAAGGAAACGCACAAATGGCATGCAAAGTTTGTTTTTAACCGGTGGCAATTGTGGTAAATACTTAAGTTTTGCCACAAAATCAGCCGCACAAAGCTCCTCTCCACCCGAACCAAAATCGAAGCCGGAAAAAGCTCATCTCCATTCACTTCTCACTTGCTAAGGCCCCGTTTGGCAGGGCTTCACTTCACTAGTGAAGCCATTTTTTTTAGCTTCAGCTCCACGAACAGCTCCACCGTTGTAAACCGTTTCATGTTTTTAGGGGCCTCGGAGGAGGAGCCGGGAGAGTTACTATTTTTGGCTCCTTCCCACCCCAAAGCTCTGTGAGAGCACATTTTAGGGGCTTCATCGGTGGAGCGTTTCATTTTAAACGGCTCCAAACGGCTCCTGAAGCCGCTGGAGAAGCCCTGCCAAACGGGGCCTAACTGTTAGCTCACGTTGTCTCTATTATACTTCTCACTTGCTAACTGTTAGCTCACGTTGTCTCTATTATAATAGACCAATTAAAATTATACTAAGTCTTTCAAAGAAAACGTCCCCTGCTGAGAGTCTCCAACCATTGTGCACTTAGAAAAATGCACATAGCAAATCAAATCCATTAAAATCAAGGGCTAATAAGATCCAACGGCCGACGGAAGAAGTTTGATGCCAGGCTTCAAATGCACCCGCATCCCGCACACGCGCCCTCCACCCACGCAATCGACCCGCTGACTCGCGAGCAGGGTTCGAAGTCTGGGAACATGAAAAAAAAAAAGCAAACGCCGGGATCCAAGACACGAGCAGGGATCCGCTACCGCCTCTGGCCATGTGTTCTCGCGCAAACCCACGCTGCCACTGCGCACGCGAGCGCGGAGGCCACCGCCGTGGCCGCTAGCCCTGACGCTCTGCCAATCTGCAGTCGCACCAAGCCACCGTTGCTGAGTCTTCCTCTGCCATGCTGCTCCGTGCCGCCTGCCGCCGTCGCCGAGTTTACCTCGGCCACGCGAGAGATTCCCGCGGCATCAACTGCTCGGGCCGGAGGGGTCGCCTGCCATCGCAGACGCGGAGGGGCCGCCGAGGGAGCAGGCGGCGCCTTTCGTGGCGGTGCGGGAGGACGGGCAAGTGCGGGCACTGGATCTGAGGCATGGGGACGGCCGGTGCATCGCCATGGACCTTGACTCCGCCGTGATATTCGGGAGCGCGTTCTTCGCCGCCATGGTGCCGGACGCCTCTGCGGGCGGGGGTGGTGGTAGGAGGGTCGAGGTGGATGGGGTGGACAACTTGGAGGCGTTCGAGTACAGAGAGACTAAACAAATTGCTGTGCTCGAAGTCAGATGCATCCCTTTCGTTTCCTTTCCCTTCCGGTTTCTTCTGTCTATTTGTTTTGTTTGATTCATAATATCCATTTTTTATTGGCCTGGGTGGTCCACAACACACAAATCTTTTTTGTGCGGATGTGCTTGCAGGATCGAGATGAGGAATTTATTCTGATATATATGATACTATTCGAGAAACAGGCCAGTCCGATATTCATGTACTACAAAGGGAATTCTTCGATATGTGGTAACTGGTATGGGAGTAAAATTGTATTCTTATCCAATTCCTATTCCCTATGCGCAAAGGGGTCAACTTATTTCCCCCTTCTTGCAGAATCAGAAAACTTATTTGATGTAAGCTGCGATTGAAGGGCAGAGGAGCATATCGTCCTGAATAAAAGCCACAAAAAAAACCTACTGATTTGCAAGATCTCTTTCGATGATCACTTTTTTTTACCATAGTCCTGGGATTATCGTAAATCAGCCAAACACTCGATCTGCTCACATATGAGCACCTCCAAGTTAGTCTCTGTTTCGCTGCTCTCCCCTTGTTTTTTTGGATATGGTTTCGTGCATTAGCTTCTTGTATGTATGTTTGATCAACAACATGAATCTTTGGGTGTGTTTGGTTGAGTTGTGGCTGTGGGAAAAAGCTGTTGTGAGCTGTGAGCTGTGGGAAAGCTGTTGTAGGCTATGAGCTGTAGAAAAGTTGAAAGCTATTTGGTTAAACAAGTATAAAATATACCTTCTATCTTTATCTCTATTGAAACAACTATAGAAGAGTTTTTTATTCCACCAATTTCAAAAAATAGAAAGCCAAAAGCTAAAAGCAGTGTCAAACCAGCTTTCAAAAATATACTAGACCCTTTAGTTTTCCAGATCTGACACCAAAAAGCAGCATGATCCATACTAGCCTTATTTGTGACTTAAATCAATTAGTTTAGTCTGTACTCTTGGATTGAATATCAATTTCCCCAAATTGTTTCAGATTAGCTGGTCACTGCGGCATGCCTGTCTGTGTGTTACAATAAGCAAATTGGTATGACCATGGTTTTCACATATTATTTTTTGCTGTATCTTATAATCCTGTCATTGTAGTATGGTAATTTTGTGGTCATATTTTACCAATAGTGTTTTAGAGTGCACACGAGCCTTCATCTTGGCAACAGCAGGTTGTGACAATCACCATCTATCACATATTCTTTTATTTAGCTGTTAAGTTCTATCTTTATCAAACTGAAATTTTCTCAAGTATATTCAATGCTAGCTTCCCATATAGTAAATTTGACATATCACTGATCTCCATGGGTGAAAACCAATATAGTTTCAATGAAGCTTGATTCCTGTACTGGATAATTAATATTTACTGAGTGACTCAGTGTTGTTTATAAATGTCAATCTTTCTCAGTTTCTTTTTCTCTAAAATATGCAGGAACTAAGCCTTTCTGATTGCGTAAAATTGCCACTGCATGTGCTAACCTTGGCCACCCGGGCCTCCACCACGCCGCCGCCACGACAGCCGGCCATCCCTGTCCTCGAGCGCGTCGTCGTCACGCCGCCGCCTGCCCCTACTGCCAAGGGGGGGGGAGGGGAGGGCGAGGTCGGGGCCGTGACGGCCTACGACGACGACCAGCAGCATCGTGCCAAGCCTGACCAGAGGGGCGAGGAGTGCTCCCTTGCCGCCGCTGTCGTCACGCCGCCGCCTGCACCTACTGCTGAGGGGGAGTGGGAGGGGCAGGGCGAGTCCGGGGCCAGGGGCAGCCTGCGGTGACGACCAGCAGCAGCGTGTTGAGCCTGACCAGAGGGGTGAGGAGTGGTCCCTCGCTGCCTTATCTGGCTGGATGCAGCTCGGCGACACGCATGCCATGCTCGGCCGCATGGACAGTCCATCGCCTATCATGGCAAGGGCCTCGAGATCCAGATGGCTTGCTCGGCTTGGCTGGCTGCAGCTGCAGCTGCAGGAACTCCTCTCACGAGTTACTGTAGTTACAGCCCCTGCAATGTTTTCAGGTTGCTAGCGCATCAGTTGCTTCCGAGTTCTAACCAAACAGGATAAATAGGGTAATTGTTTCCACAAATTCCACTTCACATGGTTTCTGTATAGGAACTAAATCACGTAAATTGCATATCTTGTCTTGTGTTTGTTTGTGGGTGCTGAGGTGGCATGGCCCGGCGGGACGACTCTCGGCGCGGCCGGCCGGAGCTGCCGGCGGGCGATGGGCAGGGAAGCTGTGGCGCCGCAGATCGCCAGGGCCCAGGGCTTGGCCGGGGTGGTGTGGTATGGGCTACAACGGCATAGGGTGTCCACCATTATTTAGTCTTTCAAGAAACTTCTAGCCAGTTTTATTTAAAAGAATTTTAGAGGTCATACAATGTATATTTCTCGTCATATGTTTTATTGTATTGTAATTAGTGAAGTTACAATATAATCGTTGAAAAGAAAGAATTGGAATGAAAAAAAGTGGCTACAAAGTTTTAGAGGTTACTGGTTTCGTCAGCTCATATTTTGGTTGTTTTGATTTGTATGTCTAAATGTCGCCGTAGCGTTAGTACGGCATACTACTAGTTTCTAGGGAGCACTAGTTTTCCGCGTTATTATTAGAAGCTGGCGTATGGGATTGGAATGTATGAATGCTTTTATTTTTGAAATTGCTAACACAAATAAAATACTGGACGCTCTGTTGACCCACCTCAGACCTCAGTGATTAAAAAATTCTACGCCCGCACACTTACCACGCCGCGCAGTCGGCTTCCTTTCCCATCATGTTCCATGCGCTCGCCTCGCTCACGCTCGGTGGAGCACAACCACACACCAACCTACAACCTCATACTTCACCGCCCAAACATGGCAGAGAAGAGAAGATGGGAGATATGGCTACAACATTAAAACATAGTTGTTGCAACATTTTGAATCAGCCTATGAAACAACTAGAGAAAACCTGTTGTAACATTAAAACATAGTTGTTGCAATATCTTGAATCATCTTACGAAACTAGAGAAAACCAGCAGTAACATGATAGAGAATGTTTGAATAAAACTAGGCCTTTGCACCATCCAAAAACATGCAACTGCAATATAGGAAAACACATGTCTACAAAAAAATTGCTGAAGCATCCAAAAAAATGCATCTAGAACAGAAATATATCAAAATCCGCTTATTATGCGGTGCAACATCTGGAATGAGTCAATGCAACATCTCCCAAAGGTCATTCAAACATCACAATCATATGTTGCAACATCATGAGAATGAAGGATCCACGGAAATAGATCTGGTGAGGAGCTCCAGCCCTGGTCGCACGCCCATCGCCCTCCACTTACGAGCGCACCACTACTCTGCCTCTATCTCCTTGCCCACAAATGTGTGATAGCCTTATGCTCCTCCAATGCAACATAGCTTACGAGATCCATCCAACAGGGGGAGGGAGGGAAGGGTGTAGGGTCGAGATGACGGACTACAAGGGGGTGAATGGTCATTTCTAAAATTAATCGCGTCGGCTAACCGTAACAAATGCGAAAATAAAACTATCGGTCTAGCCAAGACTACAACCCTCTATCTATGTTCTCTAGCACCTTACAAAGATCCTAATTATGCAACTAAGGTGTCGAGCTAGCTAGAGCTCACCCAATCAATTCTAGTGGCAAGGTCACACAAACCTATGCAACTAGTACTTTGCCAACCGGGGGAGCTCCTACACAATCTAGTAAGCAAAAGCACAAAGCCACCTAAGCTTACTAGCAATGCTCAATAACAAGGTTACACAAGCCAAATTATAGAGCGCAAATTACTTAGCTACACAAACTAAGGAAAGTGACTAACAAGGTTACTAAAACCAAATTAGCCACGCAAGGGAGCTACGTCTATGCTAGACAAGCAAGAAGGTAACTAGCAAGCTACACAAGCCAACTAATTACAAGAGCAACTACACAAGCACAATGTATATGAAAGTAATACAAGCTTGTGTTTCGTGGAATGCAAACCGCCGAGAAGATGATGAAGACAATGTTGACACGGTGATTTTCTCCCGAGGTTCACTTGGTTGCCACCAGGCTACGTCCCCATTGTGTCGACCGCTCACTTGGTGGTTTGGCAGCTAATTGGCATCACCCGCCAAGCCCACACATTGGGCACCACAAGAACCTACCCCGAAAATGAGGGTAGCTCAGTGACACGCTCAAATAGAGTTGCTCTTCGTGATACCCGTGGGGTGAGTACAATCCTCCTCCAGAGCACCGCACAATCTTCTCGCGTGCTTCAACAGAGTCACAAGCTACCAAGCCGTCTAGGAGGTGCCAACCTCCAAGAGTAACAAGCACCATCGGCTTGCAACATAATCACCTAGTGCCACTCGATGCAACCTCACGATGCAATCTCACTAGACTCGCTCACTCACTCAATCGGATGAACACAATCAAGCAAGAGTGAGTTAGAGGGCTCCCAAGCACCACCACATAAGCCACCAAGGCTCTAGTGTGCTCAGCTAATGGCCAAAGTCCGACCAAGGGGCTATTTATAAGCCCCCACACGAAAAGAGCCTTTGTACCCCTTCATTGGGCACAACTCGGGGTGACCAGATGCATCAGTCAAGATGACCGGATGCACCCAGCTAGCGTCCGGTCACGCTACGCCATCCACGTGTCGCTCTGCGTTCAACCGGAGCCGCCCTATCTCAATGGTAACTTCACGCGCCAATGGTCAAGACGACCAGACGCGCCAAGTCCACGACCTGACGCGCCCGAGCTACATCAGATTGCCACCGCGCGTGCGCAGCCAACACCTAACCGGACGCGCCTCCGCTCCATGACCTGACGCGCCACCGCCTGAGTCTGGTCGTTTCCAGAGAGCTTCTTGAGCCTCTATTTTGCGACCGGACGCGTCAGGTGAGTCACGATCGGATGCAACA